GTTCTTTTGCTGCATTTTTGATTGCCAGTGTTTTGTATAGTCTTAAAGGGGTCATATGATGCTTTTTTAAAGATCATTATTTTGTGTTTTTGGTGTAACAGAATATGTTGACATGCTTTAATGTTCAAAAAACAGATTATTTTTCAAATACTGTACATTATTGTAGGTCCTCTATGCCCCGCCTCTCTCAAACGCTTCGTTTTCTACAAAGTCCCTCCTTCCGACAAGCGCAGTCTGCTCTACTCTCTCTCTCTCTCTCTCTCTCTCTCGCTCGCTCGCTCTCTCTCTCTCTCTCGCTCACTCGCGCTCTCTCTCTCGCTCGCTCGCACTCTCTCTCGCGCTCTCTCTCTCGCTCGCTCGCGCTCTCTCTCTCTTTCGCGCTCTCTCTCGTCTTTGCAACTTCAGGGATCTTATCTATGCACAATCAGCTTGTAACACTCCAAAGAGAAAGGAAAACTTGAAATCGCATCATATGACCCCTTTAATATATTGATCAGGAAGTCCACAGTACAGAGGGATTTTCACACTCGTTTTTATTCTTCCTAACAGGGTGGCATCGGACCTTGGGGGTACAACCCTGAAGAGGTTCGAAAAGTTCTGGAGAAAATTAATTCAAAGAGAAAAAAAATGGAAGTTTTCTATCCATGATTGCATTGATATATTTGCACTTTTCTGAAATTCTAGAGTCCTTGTGTTTGCTTGTGACAGATACAGATTAAACCAGCTAGTCTCTGTACCTTGATGTTTCAAACACAGGGGGAAGTAAAATGTAAGTTGGTGACAGTATCTTTAGCATATATTTTTTAATGGAATTTGTAACCAAATGTTTTTGTTTTTTTTGGTAAACATTGATATATTTTTTTCTGCTTTAATGCAAATGCATAATTATTATACCAGCATTGCATTCAAAGACTATATAAATATCCATCAGCAGAGATTGTGAAGGGCATCTGTGCTTGTAAGATTTTTTTCTGAACTTGTGACTGTAAATGATGCTTACAGGGTAAAACTGAACTGTAAACTGATAATTCAGTCATTCTAAACAACTTTAGAAGCACAGATTTCACTGAATACACAGAGTTTTCAACAAATATTCAAATAAACAGTCATATACATCTCATAAGAGTGAGTGTATGTCATTGTATAAGGCATGACAACTTTACTTCATATCAATGGCGTGTGCTTGTCCTTCAGTGAAAAGCACATCTTGAACTGCTCTTATCCATGCTTGACCTGACAAATATTTCAAATAACTTCTTTTAAGCTGCACAGTTCGAACAATAACAATTTAATTTTCCCAAAAAAGGACATTGCATTATAAGGCAGTTATGAACATGTTGCACATTGCAGTCACTGAATCTATTTAAAAAAAGTAGAACAGCTTCACAAAATAATTTATGTTCAGTGTATCTTAAGAACCCTTTCATCCAGTACATCTCATCAAACTATTACAGCTAAATTCATTATTGACCTGCTATTCAAATGGCTGCTAGTAACAGTAAACCTGGTCTTCAATGGACAATGCTAATCTAGATGCAAGTATAGAATCTAATGTCATCTACTATGGAATATGCTAACATAATACATTGCAAATGGATGTTTTTTAATAACACTTGCACAATATTTAAAAAAAAAATTGTTAACCTGTAAAAGATGGAGAGGTCAAATGAAATGATGGAAGATAATATCAAATTATTAAATGTAAAACAAAGACGTGCTGAATTTTGGACTGCTACCTGTTCTACCTTTAATTTAATTCAGACTTAAGCAATTCAATTCTGAGATATTCATGAATGATAAACAACGATCAGTTCCTGTTTTTAGCTGCAAGAACCTTAACCTTATGACTGCATTTGTACTTTGGACTCATGTCACATGGTGTATTTGGCAGTCAGGATCCTGTTGTGGGTTGCTCACCAAGCTACAGACACTACAGACTGATCCAAAGACAAAGTTTGACTCCAGACTCCACTTTCATTCATTTAAAAGGGCTGCTAGGCCTTAAAACATTATTTGTGAGTTGTTCAAATCGCGGTAATCTAATACGGTTTTAATGATAATTAAAAGATGAAATGGTAATACTAACCGTGGGTAATTTTATCATGATTTATCGTCAAACCGGTAATCGTTACATCCATATATCAGCTGTATGAAAATGGGTAAAATTAAAGGGATAGTTCACCCAAAATTGAAAATTCTGTCATTAATTACTCACCCTCATATACAGTAGTTCCAAACCCATAAGACCTTCGTTCATCTTCGGAACACACATTAAGATATTTTTGATGAAATGTGAGAGCTCTCAGACCCTACATAGACAGCAATGCAACTGTAATGTTCCCAGGTCCAAAAATGTAGTAAGACATCGGTAAAACAGTCCATGTGACATCAGTGGCTCAACTTTTGAGCGCAAAGAAAACAAAAATAACATAACTTATTTAACAATTCTTCTCCCCCGAGTTACGTCTTCCACCATTTTGGAGAGTACCCAAGAGCGTAATCAACGTAATCAGTGTTGTTTACGTTCAGAGGAGAAAGCATGCACATGAACGTAATCTGCATAATCAGCGTTGTTTATGCTTAGGGGAAAGCGTGTGTATGTGTTATGATACTCTAAAATGGCAGAAGACGTAACTCGGGGGAGAAGAATTGTTGAATATATTGTTATTTTTGTTTTCTTTGCACTCAAAAAGTATTCTCGTAGCTTCGCAAAACTGAAGTTGAGCCACTGATGTCAAGACTGTTTTACCGATGTCCTTACTAAGTTTCTGGACCTGGGAACACTACAGTTGCGTTGCTGTCTATGCAGGGTCTGAGAGCTCTCACATTTCATCAAAAATATCTTAATTTGTGTTTCGAAGATGAACGAAGGTCTTACAGGTATGGAACGACATGAGGGTGAGTAATTAATGACAGAATTTTCATTTTTGGGTGAACTATCCCTTTAAGGACTAATGGTACAGTTTATTAAAACAGCTAAACATGGATGTGCAAAGCTTTTTATATTCACCACAGGCTTTAAAATGTCTTTGTTTCAGTTATATGCAGTAAATTATTGATTTACATCTCTTTTTTAATCATGACCTTTGATTTCTATCGTAATTAGAATGACAGTTCACGGTTTGCCACAAGATCAGGCAGCCAAGTCACAGAATGTAATCTGTTGAAACTTACCAAGCAACTATATTACTAAATATAATTTTAGCAATGTTGTGAACACCACTGGGGGTGGGGGCTTCTAATATTTTTGGGGTCATTATGGGGCCTTTGAGGCAAAAAGGTTGCAAACCACTGGTCTAGTGCGTTTACTTTGAAAAACAATGGAAAATATTTTCTGTGGGAACAGTCACTAATACCATTTGAGAGTTGCTGAGAAAGAAAAAGACTCTTAAGAACGATCACTGGTTTGTAGAGTTTAAGTGCCAGTTGGTTGGGCAAAACCTGTAGAGCTCTTATGAATCACTTGTGCCTCACAGGTTGTGCATGACACCCTCGCAGCCCGTTTGAGCCGTGTCCAATATGATCCTGCTGGACATTTCGCAGAGGAGAGCGAAGAGTTTCGTCAATGGGTTCTTACGACACGCTCTGCCTATTAAAAACATTGTACCATTGCATTGTACCATGAGTGAAAACAGACAGAGGCTCGAGACAATTTGGGAACAACTTTATCTTACATCGAAACTGGTTCACTGATTCAAAGAGAATGATTTACATGGAAATCAAATGGCTGGATCTTGGCCCTCTGGAGAGATGCTACCCTAAAGAGGTCGGGGAACATCAACAGCTTTACATCATTTCCCAAAGTTAAAATCATTTTACATCGAGCTTTCCCTTTTCTCTTAAAAAGCGATTTGCTGGAAACTGAAGGTAGGCTGAAACGCTGCTTTCCTGCTTGAATTAGTATAAATGACTGAAAAACATAAGACAAAAATCCTCAAAGGACCCACATAATTTAGTAGTCAATATATAAACAAGCCTATTCAGCCCACAGTTAAAAGTATGATGCACAAGCTAACAAAAGCAGTGCAAAACAACTACTAAAATGTAAAACAATGTCCAAGTGTCTGTATAAATAGAATAAGTTACCATTCTAACTGTAGTATGATTTTTTCGGATGTCGCTCAAATGAAACCTAATACAAAACAAATCCAAACACACTAGAGTCTGGCTTACAAAAGCAACATCCTTACGGGATGACACCTTTAAACCAACATCAAACCATTTCAGAGCTAAAACGAGGCACATGGGAGGGAATTACATATATATCTATAAAAAAGAAAACATGATATGGGTATCTTTAACCACCACAAATTCATCATGACATAATCAAACCCAACAATGGCTGAACATTTTGCAGGGAGACCCATCCAGACGCGTAATCCAGTCACCCGCCTGAGGAGCTCTGAGAAGGTCTCATAGGTAGTATGTTTGTCAGGGTCAGCATCTGAGAGGATCAGCGTATCATTCAGTCTTCGACCAAAGATTGAGACAGCAGTTAAATTTCAGAAAAATAAGAGAACATGAAATCAGTGCAGAAAACAAAAAAGCCATCTTTACGACAGGACCCGTCAATGCAGTTATTCCTTAAAAGCAGCTGCTTATAATGCTAGAAGACAAAATTGACAGTGTACAAGTAAAATACAACTGTGAGTCTATCCCCACTCAGAAAAGACCGAATTCTCTCACCACTTGATGTGTTTCACTGGAGAAAAATAAAAACAGGTCATCGAAAGGCAATAAAATATTCACAGAATTCAAGGCCACGTATGAGAGTTCAGTGTCAAAAAGTCGGAGGAAGTTACGTACGTGTAAACCATGCTGAAGTTGGACGTGGATGTCGGATTTCGAGAGAGCGAGCGAACTCCGATTATTCCTCTTCGACACAAAATGTACACACATCCAGCGATTATGTCAGCAGTAACCATACTTTTCTTGTTAATGAGAGGTGGCCTCTGATGGGAACAAGAAAACAGTTCAAAAGTTTGAGGTCAGTTCATTAAAAAAAAAAAAAAAAAAATGCAGGGCAGTCCCACCCAATTCCATTTCCTGTACATGTACTCTATGTCATCGATGGCCAACTGTGAGTTTCCAGAAAGGAGCAAACAGACTGGCATCAGACGCTCATGGTCATGGAAGGAGAGTACTGCTGTAAAGACAGAAAGCAACAAAGTTAATACACTCTACAGGAAAAGTACAAACTCACTTTACACCAATTAGGTGTTTGTGTTGCATTGTTCCAACACACCATTTTTTTTTTTTTAGAGCTGTGCCTGGTAATGGCACATTGTTAAGCTACGTAGCTAGCTAGCATTTTCAAAACAGCTATAATACAGGGATCCCCAAACTTGTTTTGTCAGCTGAAAAATATTTGCTTGAAGTACAGATTTGAGACTAAGATTTTAAGTTTAAGTTGATACATTTTAGTAGGTGTTTTATTATTTTGATCAAATAAATATTTTTAAAAATAAAAACCATTTAAAATTTTCATGATTTAATTATTAGCTTTCCATCTACTCACAAACCCCAGTTTGGAAAACCCTGTTATAATATATAACGTAAAGGGATGTAAAAGTTGATTAATCTTACATTCTCATTCTGGAAGGAGTGAAGGTAGCTGCCTCCTACATCTTCATCTCTAGGGGTCCCGGGTGGATTGCTCATGCCACTCATGTTGTTAGGAGAATTCTGATGATGAGATGTGAAACTTAGTTAGTGAAAAAGTAGTGAATAAGAGTGCTGCAGAGATGACGTATTTATTTATTTTTTTTTGGCCAACCTGGAAGTTAGCATCACCCTAGTTCCAATAGGATTTTTCCATTAGCTTTTGGATTGCTGCAGAAAATAAGCTGTGTTTATATTTATGATTCTCTCTCTATGATTCTTTTCATGGTAATCTTCATATATGAACACAACTTACGAATTTTGATGCCTAAATACAACTGTCAATAGTAAAAAGCTAAAGTTAGGCTGTAAACGAACTACATCACAGCATGACTTCAACATCAACACCACTAGGTTTCTGAAAACTCTTTCGATCTTATTTTAAAATCTACAAGTTTGAGTTAGAATAGTTTCTAAGAGTGTGAGAACAAACACAACAAGCTGTAAAATCTGAATTAAAAAAAAAGTCAACCTCTGTAGTCCCATTTAGTCACTTGTTAGAAACTGCCTTTTTAAAGGGGTCCTATTATGCTCTTTTACAAAGTCTTGATTTTGTTTTGGGGGTGTATTAGAACAGGCTCTCATACTAGGTTGTTCAAAAAACACATTATTTTTCTCACATTTTACATTACACAACACCTCTCTCCCCAGTCTGGCATGAACGGCTCGTTCTGTTAAATAAAATATCTCCTTTTGAAGTGGACTTTGAGCTTTGTAACTTTGTAGATCTTTTTTATGCTCAAACAGCAACATTACAGACTAACTAAAGTTGAAAAAGTGAAAAAGCATAATAGGACCCCTTTAAAAAAAAAACATGAGTGGGGTATTGCTGATGTGTTTTATGTCAATAGCTATGTTTCCATCCACCTATTTTTATGCACATTTTGGAATATCTCATAAAAAAAAAAACCCCCGCTGGATGGAAACGCCAAGACGCTCATAAATGTATGCGCACAATTGAGTAGGATAAACTTTTTATCAGATAAGAAAAAATGCGCATAAACTACGATAGAAACATTTACCGAATAAATTCCTCCATGCGTATCGAAAAAGCCATGTGACTTTGCGCTATGAGACGGGATAACTTTACTAGCAGCGGACCGATCTCGTTGACAGCATCTATATGTTGTTATGGTCATTCTGAAATGCCTGAGCAAAGTCTGTCGTCAAAGTATTTTTGTATAATTGTCTTACACGACTGCGTCCCCAAACAGCTGGCATACACCTCCGAAAGCAATGACTGCATTTATTGTGTTTCGGCTGCTCGCTCTGAGGCGCAAGTCATTTTATCATTTTTTTTAATCATATAAATGATTATATTCAGTGGCTTTTCCTAGTTTTCTTAGTGATATTTAGTGACGATTTTGTTTTGTTTTTTGACTCGTTGGATGGAAACGGTGCTTTATTCGCAAATGTTTTATGTGATATTCCAGTTTTGCGCATAAATTTAATTCGAATCAAACATGAAAATATCTTAAGTCTGTGAGTTCACCACATACCTTATTTCAGGCATTTAACCAAAAACCCACTGACTTCAGGATGATGGAACCGGAAGTGCAAAAATGCTTACTCATTTCCATGTTTTAGGACCCACTCCTGCAGCATTCTATTAAATATTCTTGAAATACATCTAATTCTGACTCCAACCAAATATAACATTGGTGGTCTTTAAATACTATTAGAAAGATTATAATCACCTTTGGAAGTCCATCCAGGTCTCCTGAACCTATAAAGGCACAAGATTAAAAAAAATGTTTTCAAATAGATTTAAGTTTTTATTTTAAATATAACCATGTGTTTTTACAGTAGCATTACCTCCGTTCATATGCATCGGGTCCATTCCTGCCATGGCCCCTAGGGGGCCCTCAGAGCCTGGGCCTATGGGAAACTGGACAAAACCAGCCGGGGGAAAAAAACAAAAAAAACCTCAGACATGTTCTGTCATCTCATCAGACAGTAAAGATGAAAAAGGGTAACATGAACACAGCCAAGGGCACTTCTGCTGCGCTAATGTATACACTAAGCAATTTCTGAACGGTGTGCCTCTGAGAAATGAGTCAGCAGGTCTGTCTCTTACACTGTTGCGACCTCCACCTCCTGAGTTTATTATGGTGTACAGGTTTTCACTGGAGTTGTTTGAGTCTGAGGGTGAGAGATGTTTCATTAATGGAATGGAAATCTCTGCATGATCGGTTCAACAATCAATATTCTGCTTTAGGCCAAGCCTGGGGTAATTCTGACATCTATGGAAATCAGAGTTAAACTAAATCCAATTGAGAAGGTTATGAAAGACTCTCAGCTGAATTACAGTGTGTTTTCTGAACTGAACGTGAGGCAAACAGACCTGCTGGACTAGGGACAATTCCAGGTGTTCCTGGAGGCCCCCCTCCTTGTGGACCCTGGAGAAACAAATGGATTACAGCTTTTAAGTAATACTCCAAAGTCTTTATGAATTATTATAGTAATAAAATGTGCAGTAGATGAGGAACTTTTTTTTTTTTTTACCCCATAAGCACCAGGAGATGGTGATGAATATGGCATCTAAACCAAAACAAACAGAATTATGTTTAGGAATGTAGTATTCTATTATAGAAACAAATGTAATTACTGTAATAAAGTACTTAAAATTAGAATATATTACATTGTTGGCATTTGGATTTGGCCATGGTGGTCTGCCATTTCCAGGGCCCCTACAAAACACAAAATAACATGGATTAGTATTCAGTTTCCATTTAATCAGTCATTTACATCATTAACTACTCTTCAAAAATTTGGAGTTGGTAAGACTTTTAAGTCTCTTATGCTCACCAAGGCTGCTTTTTTTATAAAAAAAAAAAAACAGTAATATTATGAAATATTATTACAACTTAATGTTAAAAATATAATTTGCTCCAGTGATGTCAAAGCTGAATTTTCATCAGCCATTACTCCAGTCTTCAGTGTCACATGATCCTTCAGAAATCATTTTAATATGCATATTTGGTGCTCAAGAAATTATCAATGCAACAATACAGTTGTGCTGTTTATTATTTTGATAAATTTTTTAGGATTCTTTGATGAATAAAAAGTTCAAAAAACAGCATTTATTGGGGAAAAAAAACCTTCTGTAACATTATAAATGACTTTACTCAAATTTCTGATCAATTTAATGTGTCCTTGTTGAATAAAAATATTAATTTTATTGAATTCTTAATGACCCCAAACACTATTGTCACAAAAGGTCTTACATGTTCACTCCTGGCATGCCAGGGCCCATTGAGTTGTGTGGTGGTCTCATCCCCCCTCCAAAACTCTGGGGGACGGGGCCCATGGGACCCATTCCTCTAGGAACATTCATCCTCTGCATCGGCCCTTGAGATGGGGAAAGGAGAAGTCAAATCAGTTTAGGTCATCTGCAGCTTTAAAATATGTTATCTCCGATATACTCATAACTCATGCTCACCCTGTAGTCTGGGATCCATGTTTGGGAGCATTGGCTGGGCAGTTGGAACTCCACCTGGGGGCTGGAAAAGTGTCGGTTTTATTATTAATTTTTTTTAATTGGACATTTTAATTAAAGCTACAAAAGCTGACATCAAGACCACATTGATGAACTCACCTGGTTGACCATTCTGATGGGGGGCCGTGGTCCCCCACCAAAGCGAGGTGACATGAAAGGCTGCAACACAAATCAACTTGTCAGAAAACTGTAACAATATGAGTCTAATGAAGTTGCAAAGATGCCTCGGAGAACACAGGGGAACCACAGCTCAGCAGAGCAGGCTAACAGGAAGACGGCAAGAGAGAAACAATACAGAGGGCAGAATCAGTCAAATGAAATAGCCCGTGTATAGACAGGAGCCGCTACCTGGCCGTGGGGTCCCATCATGCTGTTAGGGGGAGGAGGAGCGTGAGGGGAGGCCTGGGAGCCGGGAGGGCCCTAAGAAAGTGAAGAGACCACACGAGAGGAGAGCAGGAGCGAGAGACCAAGCAAGGGAAAGGTAGCAAGTGATAAAACGGGCAATGGAGAGACAAGAAAGAAAAAAGAGAGAGTCATTAGGCTATTTAAAGAGCTGGAAAGAGAACAACACCACAGAACGCACTGAGAATCATACGTGACTGGTGGCTGAGCAGATAAACACACTGAAAGAACAAAGCACTTGGAAAAAATTAAACAAATGAATCAATGGGTGAACAAAAAGTATCAGCACGAGCACAATTAAACATTTATGAAGAATTCAACAGAATTTGAATAGAGAAAGCCAATACTGGACCCAACACTGTGTAGCCAGTGCTGCCCCATCATTCCCTGTTTTTACTTAAGGTTACATTTATTTTATTTATTTAGTCATTTAGCAGACGCTTTTATCCAAAGCGACTTACAAATGAGGACAACAGAAGCAATCAATTGTAGTATTAAAACAACTAAAAACAGATCCAAAACTAAAAGCTAAAACTTTATAAATACTACCTATACACATTTTAAAAATAAAGATTAAATAAAAATGACAAATGCATACAACAAAATTTCAAAACTTAACATATAAATGAAAAACAAAAGATAAAGCTAAAAACAATTCAAAATATTAAAGAACAAAAGGTATAAGAGTATAATAATGATTCTAACATAACACTAAGCCAAACACCAAAAAAACAGCTACATATGTGTGTATGCACAACCACACACACATACATATATACTGTATATTTACATACACATTTATAAATTCAATATATATATATTATTTCATTTCCATTTAGTTTGTTGAAGTATTAAAATAACTCAAATTAAATAAAATTAAAAACTTAATAAAAGACCTATACAGACAGAATAAATTCTGACATAATTTAACTAAAATTAAAATAAATTACAAATACAAATAATATAAATCAAATGACAGTAGTTTATCAGTAATCCTAAAAAATAACACTGCCAAACACACATGCTAAAAAACAACAACTTACTTATACATAGTAAGAAATGGTTATAAAAAACTGAAACAGAAGCGAAACAAGTAATAGGAAAGAGGAGAAATAAAAAGCGATACTTATTTACATAAATAATATTAATTATAATAATTATTAATATATATTTCATCAATCTGAAAATAAATATATATATTTATTTATTTATTTATTTCTATACTTATACATATAAATATTAAAATCTAAAACTATATATACACATATTCAACTTTTAAAAAACTATATGCATATAGCATATAGTTAATAATAATAGTAATAATAATAATACATGTTTAATACTTCCAAACATATAACTGAAATGGAAATATATAATATTATAATATCAAGTCATTATTATTCAAATATAAATATTTTTATAAAATATGTAATTATACCTAAATAGTAATGCAATTTTTTTTTATATATTTATTTTTTTATAGAAAGAGAGCATGCATTAACTTAATTTGCATATAAATTAAAAATCAAAAACAAAAATATTTTTAAAAACTATATTTAAAAGCTATATATACTAGGGCTGCCCCCTAATAGTCAACTAATCGTTAGTCGACCAACATTTTATTAGTCGCTTAAAGGGGTCCTATTATGCATTTTCACTTTTTCGCCAATCACAACACACACTGGCAAGCTAACCAATCACAGCACATTTCGTATTTCAGAAGGCGGGCCTTCATTTGATACAGGAACTATTCGAGCCGTTCATGCCAGACTGGGGAGAGAGGCGTTGTAATAATGTAAAATATATTAAAAATAATGTGTTTTTCGAAAAACCTAGTATGAGAGCCTGTTCTAGAACACCCCCAAAACAAAATCAAGACTTTGTAAAAGAGCACAATAGGACCCCTTTAAGTCACGCAGATCGTTAACTGCTAGTCTATGGTAATTTAGTACATCGGGCAGGACATCCAAACGCTCGCCTATCATTCATCCACCACAAATATGGCTTATCATCTGAAATATGCAAGTATTAGCAACTTTACATGGCCGCTAAATCTAATGTTAACCTAGAGAAATGTGCGTTGTTCAAGTGTCTGTGTGGAGTGTGGAAGCTGAATATTAGCGCTCACTGCAGCACAGATGGAGGCGCCGGTGCGCTCACTTATTCCTAAAATACTCTGTCATTTTTGGTCATACAGATAAGAGTAATACATCTTTCAAATCTGTTAAGACTCCACATTTATTTGAGTGCACTCACAATAACAACAAAACGCGCTTTTGTAAAATAACGAAAGCAAACAGGATGCGCTTTCTGCCGTCTCAGCTTCCTTACTGTTTTTCCCTGACACACTCATAATCATTACTTCTGCCAGTGCGCTGTGGCAAGCTTTATGCGTGTGCTTGAGCGCTTATTAAGCTATGTAGGCAATTAAAGGCTCATTATAATGACTTAAATGGTTTTTTAATAAACGTGCGATTAATCGACTAATGCTTAAAATGAACGACTACTAGTTCACCAGAAAAATCCTTAGTCGAGGGCAGCCCTAATATATACACATATACACATTCATGTAATAATAATAATACATTTGTATAACACTTACTTGAAAAAGATAGAAAGCTTTTTAAAATCATGAGAAACATTAATTCACTGTGACCAAACGTTTGACTAATAGTCTATGCAGGGTTTGGATCAGTGACATCTTAAAAATATCTCACAAGACATGAGGTTTAGAAAGAGGGTGATGATCTAACCTGGAAGAATCCTGGGGGCATGGGTCCACCTGGCATGCCATCTCCTGGTGGCATGTTCCCAAGAACAGGACTGGGGGCCGCTGCGGCACTCTGTGGGCACAAATCATTAAGAAAAAAAAAAGATCAGGACACATTAGATGGGGGGGAAAACACCTGTACATCTTAAGTACAGATTTTTTCCCTAGGAAAACAGATTTATTCCACAAGTAGAAAATGCAGCTTAATGCATTCTAGCACTCATAAATCTGTGCTCTAACAGCAAGCAATAAAGCCAGCGGCATAGCCACAAGTTACTGACTGGTGTAAAATCCAATTTTAAGGTCTACAAAACCAAGAGGAAAGAACTAGGTTTCAGAGCACAACAGGGATTTGATCATGCATATAATGTCAGTGGAAAAAGCACAGTGTGGTCTGCTGCCTGTCACACTTCAGCCTGAGTTAACCGAGCAAGGCTTTTCAGAGAGCACTGTGAAATACCACAGGAAGGAGGTAGAAAGAAAGAAGAGCAGCTGAACCTGATGGAACAACACAGATCAGAACCGGCCAATGGGAAGAGTCAGACCGAGACTGATCCACAACAATGGAGCAGCTACACTTTTCATTCAGACTATTCAAGTTCACAGTTCAAGGGCCAAGAGGACTTTTTATTTTTAAAATCGATATAAAGATTGATCCTAATCACATTCTTAATAGACACAATAGATATTTTCTGAACATATCATTCAAACTTCATCAGTGTTATGGTTAACTAAAAAAATAAATAAATAGTCTTTGCTAATTGAAAAAGCTCTAATAAAATATAAATATTACATGAAATTAAACTGTAAATATAAAGTTTAATATGTAAATATTTCTAAAAAATTACAATTAAAATTAAAATAAAACTGAAAATAAAACCCAATTCAAAATATTAATAAATAGCACTGCAGTGCATGTTATTCCAAACAAAGAAAACTGAAGTTTGCAGTAAAATTCAATGACTTGATCCATTTCCAAAATGACTTTTCTATTTTGGCTGACGTCACCGAGGCTGCCATTTCCTGTTTCGAAAGGTGAGCAATCCAACAAAAAATTCTGGAAAAGAACGCCTACTTTTCATGATCCAATCAATTCTCAATGGATAAAATCAATTTTCACCCTTCCTCCTCTTGCTGAGCATCTTGTTTCGCTCGGAAAATCATATTACTTAAGTGAAATGGGTGGGAATGTCATTTTATGTCACCTTAGGATTAGCTAAAAATTCTCATAACCAAGGAAAATCCTTCAAGTTAAGCCAGGGAAATGTTCCTGGTTGTCCTACCCTGATGACAGCCCTCCATTGGCAATCTAACATCATTATATCACCAAAATGCCCTGAAATAACAAAACAAATCCAACACAGTCCTGCTCCACACAGCTCATCCTTCCCTCACCCTCCAAGTTCGCTTCCATGCTCCTCGTTCCATCGGTCTCTTCCCTCTCTTTCAATCTGCCTACCGACAGGCTCCATGACAGCCATCAATCACTCTCCATCCCCACCGCAGCCCGAGGGGGAGTGTTTCCCCTGACACAGCATGAAGACAACATGGCCACTGTTTAAAGAGGGCGCAGCCTCCTCCCCCACCCTCTGGAGAATAAGAGAGCACAGACCTGACGCCACGGTCCCGACCACAGCTGGGCACAAAAGACAGGAGACTGCGGCGATCACACGCGGACTTCAAAACATAATGCCCTATAACAGTCCTGAAGATCCAGCCACGCTGAACATGCGGCTAATTTTTGCATGGCAGATAATGTTTCATGTATCCCTGTATGGCAGCATCCTTTCAGATTAGGATGTCTAGACAGAGGAGCAAGGGTTTGATTTTTAGACTTGCTGCATATGACCTTTGACATGTGGCCCCTCACTAAAGCTTGCGGCTAGACAACAGTGGCCATATATTATTGGTAGGAAGCTAAAGCTGGAGATTTTGCATCATTCCTATATAAGCATATAAGCTGTTGGGAAAATGCATAGAAATGAGATTTAGAGATGCGACAATTTGCATTTCATGGAAAACTAGGAGGACTTAGCTTGCCTAAAAATGATTTTATTTGATTTGTTAGTAACTTCATGACACTGTAAAGGGTTTCAGCCTGTAAATCCATTTGTTACCCTGAACCACAAAACCAGTTATAAGTAGCACGAGTATATTTGTAGAAATAGCCAACAATACATCGTATGGGTCAAAATTATCGATTTTTCCTTTATGCCAAAAATCATTAGGATATTAAGTTCCATGAATATATTTTGTAAATTTCCAACCGTAAATATATCAAAGCTTAATTTTTGATTAGTAATATGCCCCGCTAAGAACTTCATTTGGACAACTTTAACATTTTCTCAATATTTACATTTTTTTGCACCCTAGTGCACCATAATAATGCTTAGTTGTATCTCAGCCAAATATTGTCCTATTCTGACAAACCATACATCAATGGAAAGCTTCATTATTCAGCTTTCAGATGATATATAAATCTAAATTAAAAAAGAAAAGACCCTTATGACACATTTTAAAAAGTGCCACGTAACACAATTTTGAAATATTTATCAATAGTAAGAGCTGTCCTGGCTTCAATCTTTGCAAAGATGCAGACCTTGATTTCCAATCAGCCGAACATCATGTACATGACAAAGCTGATCGTCCGAGACACGTACCATCTTTGTCTAGAAACAGTCATGATTCCATGGAAAACCCTGCTGATATCATTGCTATTGTAGGGGTGATTACTACATCCTTCACACACAACACTGTACACACTTCCTTATTATAAAACACAGAGACTCTTCCAGAGTCTGCAAGATTCACAGGCACATGAAATGCAATTTTGTCCTCTAATCTGCATACATTATGGAAACAGTCTGTGCGTTTCTGTACTCACATAGTCATGGAAAGCCTTGGCCTCGCTTGAATGTTCGCATGTGTCTCTCCTCTCAGGAGCTGCACAGTAGAGGTCCCAAAAGACACTGGGTAAAGAAAAAGTGGTCAAATAAGCCTGCATATGCCCATGGTTCGTGCAAAAATTATAGCATAATTTACTCATTTTCGTGTCATTTCAAACCTCTACAACTTTTGCTTCAATGGAATAAACAAAAAACTTTTTTGTTGGGAAGTTTTCATTGCAATAACAATGAACCATACAATTTAACAGCTGTGTGTGGTAAAAGATTTTCAGTGAATAACAACACAAATTTCAGGCTGTTTCTTGCATAAACATATGGTTTTAAAAAATGGGTCAACTATTCCTTTTAATATTATAAAAAGACAAAATACACTTGAAATACTCACCACCACCAGGAATGCAGGAACCCAGGAGGGTCTCCCAGCGTGATGTTCTTTTCCCATCGGATCTAAAATGGACCAGAAAATTATCAAATCTTTAAAAATAAAATGCAGTCTATGAGTACATAGGCCTGAAATACATTTTCAATTTTAATGTTTGCAAGTGTGTGTCTGTAAAAAAACAAAAGTATGGTCCTCACTTCTGACAGGAAAGTCTGCGCTGACTTCTGAGCACCAATGTGTAACAAATACTCGTAAACATACAAAGCTAACCTGCAATAAAACAGAGAGAATACAATATTAAGTTAATAAAGCAACAATTAATAAAAAAAAGGCATATTATGGTTGGGGAGGACAAATTCAAGAAATCAGTAGTCACACTCCTCTCTGGTTTACACTTAAACAGTGTCTATAGTAAAAATGAAAGTATTATCCAAAGAAAATACTCATTATATTAAGAAAAAAATACTAATTTAAATATTTCATTTATTTATTATATTTTATTATTCATAAACCCACCATTGAGCAAGAATGCATCTCAAAAACATGCAAAATGCATAAAAACTAAACAAAAGACCGGACCTCACTCCCCTCCAAGACTGGCGTCTGAGGCTAAATGAAACAAGGAACACTGAAGCGCCCGTCCCGCATGCAGAAATTATTTCAAATGGCTGCATTAAAATGTAGGTGATTTAAAAAGGCAAGGTTTTTATTCTGGATCACATCACAATAATCGGAGGCGAAAGCTCTGTGCCATAGGGGGACCCCAGAATGGCGCACGGCTGGGCACTTTCGATTCAACGCTCTCACGACAAGCCGATAGCAGCAGCATACGCTCCATATGCAGCCGTGCCTATACTGCCCTAACAATAGGCTACATCCAACACAATAACACACACACGACGGGAGATGTTCAAAAGACCTTACTTTTCCCGAGCTTGGCCATCCGATGGCACGACGGAGCTTTTGCCTTTAGGAAACATGTTTTTTTTTTGTGCACGGGAAAGTCGCCCGCGTTCCCTTTTCCTCTATTTTCGACAAATCATCTGTCACTGCTCCAGGTTCGACTGCACAAACTAACGCCGTCTCAACCAACCTTGACCACTATGGCGGGGGGAGTGGTGTTGTTTGATTGACAAGGGCAAGTGACCAATGGGAGGGCGCAATTTCTCTTGCGTGATGCCCTGCAGTGACGTAAGCTCGGTGACCAAATAGTTCCTTCCTCCAATTTCCTGTGATTCTTTAAAGATGGGTTGCATTAAGCGCGCCACATTAATTATCCCTGTATTTGTTTACTGTGTTGCCTTAATGGGTTGCATACTATGAAAGTAAAACTGTGAGAAATCGCAATACAAACAAGAAATTAAGCTGAATCATTCACTGATATGTAGCTATGTCTTGAAAATTATTGAAATAGTCTAGGCTATTAATTACAACAATAATAATAATAATAACTGTAACGTAAAACACACCATTAGACATATTTTCTTATTTATTTGCGTATTTACCTCTTCAGTTAGGCTATTTATATACAATGCACTTTTCATCAGCGAGTAATCACATCTGCACTCTTTGCAATAAGTTTAGATGCTTTGGAAGTAATAATACATATGTTAAGAGAACATGTGTTATATGTTTATGTATTGGCTTCGTGTACGTTTGTTACGGGTTTGTTAAGCAAATTCTTAAACTAACTAAATGATTAAAACCCTACACGTAGATCAATTTTTTGTTTCTTAATATTTTTCTATAATACAGAAACATCGTTAGCATATTCCAAACTAATTGCATAAGGTAAGAGTTGATCCTGTGTAATGGAATCAGTCTACCTTAAAAAAGTCTCTGGGCGGCACTGTAACTCGATAGGGCTTATGTGAACAGCCGAGCGCAGTGTGGACACTTTGTATGATTGAGAATATGAATGTCTGTTTATTTATTTTCATACATCTTGCAAAGTTTCAGACGTCACGCAGACATTGTTTCTTTCTTCGTGCAAACGAGAGTGGTTTGACATCTATCCATGTAAGTTGCTTACTTTTTTGTCATTACCAGCAGTATTTTAGTTCAGACGCATTTGACACTTGGAACATGCCACAGAATAATAACCTGCTATGCAAACTTTGGAAAACGTAATCATTCGTTTTGCATAAAATCAGCAGCATGCAACGTAATGTTCTTGTGAGATATCATCGTAGCCTACTATCTTTTATGTATTGTTTTCTTTTATTAGAAATATATATATTAAGATGCATAGTCTTTAATAACTTGTCTGCAGCTCACAATGAAAATAATACATTTATGAATGAGTAGAATGATGTCAGTCAACGACAGGTTACATTACTTCCAGTCCAGTTTCTGTTGGAGGTCGTTTGTCTGACACATGACAGGTTCTAGTAGGCTATTGCGCTTTGATCGTGCATAACGGCACATTGATTATTTGATATCACTGGTTAAATTTGTATGCTTTCAATAGTAAATTCCATCTGGACAACTATAATGGAATGAGCTGTAATATGTTCTTACATGTCTCTTAATAGCTGAACTGTTTGACTGTGCACAGGCCTATTCTAATGACAAACAGAAACGAGTTAAGCGTATTAATCGCTATGGCACATCGTTTTATCAGACAAACAAGGCTTTGTTCTGTATATAATCTGGCAGGTTGCACCTATAAACTGGAAGTCATTGCAATACACACAGCTTGGATGATCCATCCAATAATTATTCTTTATGTTTTAAATGATCTCTTATGATTTTGATTTAATTTACATAATTATTTTTATTCATACAGTAGGCCTATAATCTCCTAGGCTCTGCACCACAGTAATTCCAAAAGGAATTTTCTTAGATTATAAATCTGTTGCAAGTGTTGCACTTTCAAGTAGACTTATTTTTGAACTGAATTGGTGGACTGACCCCTTTTGAACTGACTGGAGATTTCTGTGGCCTATGAAAACAAGCTAAACGCTCACTGTAGCTATAACATGCATTTGGAAGGTTTAAAAACAAACATGAGCATGTGAGATGAGTCCTGTGAAGATGACGACGGTTACCTGTCCTGATATTCATGCACATTTTTATACAAGACCACTTATAAGAGGATATGATCTAAAAGCTAAATTTCCTGACCTTCCTGATATCCTTCAAGACAGTGATATTCTAGCCTAATGCTCTTACCAATGCTAATCTCCACCAAATATGCTCACAAATAAACATCTTAACATGTAAGTTGCTCCAACAGAGCACTAGTCATGGCAAATGAGCCCAGGGATCCCATGCAGCTGGAAAAGCCCATGTTTATTCTGGGAAATGGAGAGGTGTACAGGAACCAAACTGAAGTAAAGATGAGCCAGATAGTCCTCCCCTGCCATGCAAACTACTGTGGAGAACTCAGTGCTGGGCAGCTGCTCAAGTGGATGGACTCCACTGCCTGCCTGTCTGGTCTGTTTTGAATGAAACCATTATTTGTTTATTTATTTTAGATTTTATTTAATTTTTTACTTCCTTTCTCAAATGATCCTTGCCAATGATCTAGTAAAACTACTTCCAGCTAAGTTAAAAACTAAAGAATACTCTTTTAGGTGATTTGATTTCACTCTGAATCTTCAATATTCATGTAAACACCTCCACACCATATGCTTGTACTAAGTGTCATTAGACATCGCAGATGGAGGAGTCTGTGCAGTTTGGACTGTGATTTCCATCCTCGTACTGTGAATAAACAGAGCAATAGGCTGGTGAGAAAGTTTAATAGCAGTTGGAATGATTTTTAATCATATTTAACTGATAAAAGGCAAAAGCATTTCAGCTGAGAATGTGGCTAAACCTTTGTAGCACTGTGAAGAGCACAGATGGTGGTTGGTAACAGCTTTACATGCTTCCCTTAATGTTGCTTAAAATAAGTTTGTTTTTCACTTCGTTCTGTAGCATGGAACATTTTTTCTTCCTTCAGGATTACATACTTACGTGTTTGCTTTTCAGCCGAACCTGCTTACATGCTTGCTTTGGGTGTAAACATTTATTAATTATCAATATTTGCTCTCTTGTTTCCAGCTGAGAGACATGCTGGCTGCTCCTGCATCACAGCCTCAGTGGATGACATTCACTTTGAAACCACCATAGGGTAACAACACATACAGGAACTAGTTATTTTGAATTGAAACAAAAAGTTTGTGTTTATTATTATATAAAAAAAATATGTGTCTTCATGCAGGGTTGGACAGGTTGTAAACATTACAGCCAAAGTCAACAGAGCCTTCACATCCAGCATGGAGGTTTGTGGGAACATCTACTACTATTTAGCCGAAATTAGTGAGCACAAACAATTTTATTATGTGAAATCAAACATCTACTGGTATTATTAATATGCTGAATTTTAATTATTGACTAATCATCGAAAAAACATGTTTTTGCATTTCACTTGCTCTAACTTGTGTGTTAATCTATATGGGGATATGCTAGAAAATATAATGTGATATAATAATCTAGTTCCATATGTGGGAAACTATATTTTTCAATATAATGCAATATATGCATGGATAATGTATGACTATATACTGATAAATATCAAAAAAATATATAGCAATCAAGACAAAAACTGCACTACGTTTTTACATGTAGGCCTAATAACATTATTAAAACACTAAATTAATTAAATTCTCTATCATGTGTTGAACGCATATTCATAATTTCATATTAATTTCACATATTCACATTTAACTCACTCTATTCTTTGCATAGTCATACATCTCATATGAAAATATGTGCGATGATATAAGAAAAAGTGTTTACTGAACATATTAAAATGTTAGCATTTTTGGTGGGTAGAAAATTATATTTATAACTTAATGGATTGAGTGCTATTTGTACTATATATAAATATAAATATATTGATCTATATACTGTATCACAATATAAATTTTCCTCAAGTGTACATCTGTTGCACATACATGTTCCCATATAAATGTGAATATACAGTACATAAATTAAAATAATTCACACACACACACACACACACACACACAGTACCATATTTTATCACACATACATCTTTCTATTATGAAATGTATTATTGAATATGAAATTACATACATTATGATATAAAGGTAAATATACTGTCGCATGTTTCAATATATGAAAAGCGGTAATTCCTTATGTATTATTAAATATATTGTAATATATTAAACACAATATATTATTCTGTATATTTTCAATATACAATAAATCATTTAAAATATTCATTGTTAAAATATAAGGAAATATATTTTCTTTGCATAGGGGTATGCTGCAAATATTGTTGAACCTTATGATAAATTGCAATGTTCCTCATTTATAAGCTGCTTTGGATAAAAGCTTCTTCTAAATGAAGTACGGCTGATGATGTGGGTCTTTGTCTCAGGTCGGGATTTTGGTGAGCTGTGAAGATCTCTTCAGCGACAGACAGTGGAAGGTCTGTCACGCTTTCGCCACCTTTGTGGCCCGACGTACCGAAGCAGGAAAGGTAAGAAACATCACGTCGAACTAAATCAGAACAATTTTAGCCACAAGTTTGCACACCCTTGAATCAGATCTGTGAAAAAGAGCTTGGATTTGGTCCAGGTCTTGTTAGAGTTGTGATTCATCAGCGCAGTGTTTGGGTTTGCACAGGTACAGCTGAAGCAGGTGATTCCACGCACGCAGGCAGAGCAGATGGAGTACAGCCTCGCAGCCGAGCGCAGGAGGATGAGACTGATCCATGCAGAGATAATTAACGATCTTCTCAGCAGCTGCTCCTCTCAGACAGGTGAGCGGAGACACTGCTCACTCACTTTCTCCAGGTGTGTTTGTTTACTTGCAAGACTTTGAAGAGAGGTCTCAGGAACACTTGCCACAGGAAATGAGTCATGAATCAGAAGTTGAGTTCTGATTGAAGGTGTCATTCGGTTTGTTTGGTGTCTCTTCATAAACACGCCGCCAACACTCATTTAAGCGTATATATATGTGCAGTAAACCTTCACCGTTCACTTACAAAGGGTCACGTGGTTTGAAGTGTGTAGAATAAATAGACTGGAAGACGCAGTCGCTCTGATAAGTGGTGCTCTATCTGTTTGTCAGTGAGTGAGTGTCTAGATTACCAGGAAGCGGTGCCTGCGGAGCGGACTCGGGTAGAAAGCGTCGAGCTGGTGCTCCCGCCCCATGCCAATCACCAGGTCAGCACGTTTGGTGGACAAATCATGGCCTGGATGGAGAATGTAGCCACCATCTCTGCCAGGTGTACAGTCCCTATTTTACTACAGTCAAATCTGATGATAAAAAAAGATATTTAAATGCATACGCAAGGAAACCATTGGTGTGTCATACTCTATATGCTTTTTCTTCTAGTCGTTTGTGTAATGCTCACCCAACTCTGCAGAGCATAGACATGTTCCACTTTCGTGGGCCGTCCCACATTGGAGACAGACTGGTGTTGAAGGCAATTGTAAACAATGCTTTCAAGAAAAGGTATGTCTATATCAAGAAAAAATTGTGGACCACTGGGATGCCTGGGGCTGTATATATTTATCATTCAAAAGTTTGTTTTTTAAAGAAAATATTTAAAAAGTTACTTCTATTCAGTAAGGACACATTAAATTGATCAATGACAGTAAAGACTTTTACATTGTAAGAAAATAAAATCTTTCAAAAAATGCTGTTCTTTTGAACTTTCTATTCATTAAAGAATCATAAAAAAAAAAGACTGGAGTAATGATGCTGAAAATTCAGCTTTGCATCACAGGAATAAATTACATTTTAAAAATATATTCAAATAGAAAACAGCCTGAGTGAGCATAAGCGACCGAACCCAATCTTTTAACGGTTATATTTAAATATATAAAGTATAAAAAATATAATATGTATAAAATTTATATATTTTAATATTAGATTTGTTTATCATATTTGTTTTATTGGATTATAAAAGCTATGGATCAGTACCACTATATAGACTAAGGACTTAAAAACAGTAATATAGTATATACCTATATTATAAACAGTAAAAGCTATGGTTCAGTATCACTTACATCCATGAATCATGGAAGCCTGATTTATCTTTGAGCAGCCTGAACAACTGGTATTTCGTGTGTGTTATTCCAGTATGGAGGTGGGAGTGTGTGCGGAGGCCTATCAGGGTGGAGAGCCCCTGCGACACATCAACACCGCCTTCATGACCTTTGAGGTCTTGGACAATGACAGGAAGCCATGCACGTTGCCAAGGATACGGCCTGAGCCTGTGGTGAGCGCTGTAACATTCCTGGAATCTCTCACATGGTGGAAGAGTTTAACTTGTTGATGGAGTTCAAGAGGGTGAAACAAAATGAATGGGATATGCAGTGCTTGCTTTACACTGAGTTTTTAAAACTGAATCTTATTATTTCAATTACAAATCATTATCTTCTTATCCTGTCTTTTTAGGATGGTAAAAGACGCTTTCAGGAAGCCATAGCCAGAAAGAAAATCCGCCTTGACAGGTAGGATTCTTAAGATTTTGTCTATTATAACAGGTTATGCCATATTCTTATGATATCATACGTCTATTTATAAGCTCTGGCTGCATGTCATATTCAAAGTTAACTTTACAGCTATAAAAATTCCTGCATAGCAGACCAGCATGGGACACTAGATCACATGAGTATGCTCTCCTCTTACAGGAAGTACATAATATCTTGCAAACAAAGCGAGGTTCCTCTCTCGGTTCCCTGGGACCCAAGTAACCAGGTATATTAACCTGTTCTAGTAGCTATAAATCTCATGGATTTGCTAAACCTGCTTTGTTAGACCATGTGACTAATCCATGTCTTGGCAGATGTACCTCAGTTACAATAATGTTTCGGCACTGAAGATGTTGGCTGCCCGGACTAACTGGGTCTTAACCTCAGAGAAGAACAAGGTGGATAAGTTTTGTGCACTTAAATTTTCCATTTTGTATTTTTGAGATTACATGGGTGACTTGAGCAGTCAAATATGTTGTAGATGCTTGAGGGAAATTAATGAGTTGAAACATTGTGCCTAGGTGAGTTTATACACACTGGAGGAGAACCAGATGTTGTGCTTTAAGGTGGAGACTCATGTGGCTGTGGCGGCCGAGCAGGTGTTTCTGTTACTGTCTGATCTAAGGCGAAGGAAGGCATGGGACCACCACTACCAGTATGTCAAATGCATTTTATATAACAAAAAAAGAAAATATAGAATTTTATAAGCGACAGACATTTAACAGCCATTTTTTGATGAAAATATAAAGTTTGGAGTTTATAGTATTTTTTATTTTTTTATTATTTCTATTTCAAATAAATGCTGTTCTTTTGTGATTTCTATTAATCCTAAAAATGTATCAGAATGTCCACAAAAATATTAAAAAGTATATAAAAAGTAGTACACCTGTTTTCAACATTGATAATAATTAGAAACATTGTATGTTTCTTGAGCGCCTAATAAGCATAATGTTTTTGTTTGTTTTTTGTTAAGATCATGTGACACTGAAGACTGGAGTAAATTCAGCTTTGCCATCACAAGAATGTATTACATTTAAAAAATAGTTGTAATATTTCAAAATATTGCTGTTGTACTGCATTTTTGATCAAATAAATGCAACATTGGTGAACATGAGACTCAAAAACATTAAATCCTATTACTTTTAACAGAGTTTTTTAATTAATTAAAAAAAACATTCAAATCTATAAATGAACACTTTTTGCTGTAATGTAAATTTAAATGAAATGTTACTTTTACAAGTGTCTTTGCTGTTTGTTACAATGGCTGGCAGATAAAATAAAATGATCAGCCACAGTTTCAAATTACTTGATTTAACGTAGAACGCATTATGATATTATAATTAACCATAATAAATATATCTTAATACAGAGAGTGTGAAGTGATAACGGACTCACATGAAGACGACACCATCTACCAAGTTGTCACCCCCTCTGTGACTAAAGGAGGCAAAGTCCAGGACTTCATCCTCCTGGCCTCCAGGAGGCGCCCTTGTGATTTTGGGTAAACCTTAAACTCCTACAAAATCTCTTATTGTGTCTTGTGTATTTCCAAAGAACAAAATAAGTTATTGCATCTTTGTCACTTTTAGAGACCCTTATATGATTGCCTTGCGTTCTGTGACCCTGCCTGCGTACCCTCCCACTGAAGACTACAACAGAGGAGAGGTGCTGTGTGCTGGGTTCAGTATCTGGGAGGAGGAAAACTCTTTCACTAAGGTAATAAATACACAGAAAGCCTAATGGACACTTATACTGAATGAGTGAATGAGTCAAAGTTCAAGAATGAACACGGCTTTAAACGTAGCAATCTCTTTAACTGAAATGATGTGCATGTACATTAGCCAATAACACTGTTTATAACTCATGTTTAGAAACTGCTTAGAGTGGTCCCTGGTGCTGCCACGTAGGTGTTAAAGTACTGAAGGTTAAGTGCGTTTGGTTTACATGCTTATGTATGCATTTCTCTCAGCTTTCTTACTACAACCAGGCCACTCCTGGCGTGCTGCCCTATATCTCCACTGACATCGCTGGGCTTTCCTCCAGTTTCTACTGCACCTTTGCCTCATGTAGCGCTTTTCTGGAGGAGAATAAAAACAGCCTGGCTTCCCTGCCCACCTCCACCCTGTGAGAAAGCTGAATTCGACAATCTATGCTCTTCAGAAATGGATTTTGCTTCTAAAAAAATGGTTATGGTCCAGATATAAGGTTGACACAGACATTCACATTTGAGTTAATATAAAAGATCATGAGCTTTAGGTACGTAAAACTCTTATTTTCCATACACTCTCAGAAAATAAAGGCACAGAACTGTCACTGGAATGGGACCCTATGATACAAAAGCTAAAAGGTACATCTCTGTACCATATTTACCTCTAAATGGTACATATTAGTACCTTAGGGTACCGTCCCTGTGGCAGTTTTGTACCTTTTTGAATTTAGAAAAAGGCATTAGCATTGTTATCAGGGGAGTCTTTTTTGTTGTTGTTGAAACTCCATATACCGTATATATAATATATAAATATATACAGAATTATTTTGTAATGTAACCTTGATGAATATTAATATTATTTAAAAACGATAATAATTCTCGTTTTTTTTTTTTTTTTTAGATATTTCACCTTTTAAGCTAGAATTTAGGGTCATGTGCAATAATGTAAAACTCTCTACAGATGCCACTTCCAGAAGACTAAGCTAGTATATTGCACTGTTGTCATTCTCAATGACTCAAAGTACTCAAAATAAAACTAATAAACTTCAAATGGGTGGCAAGGTCGATATGTGGTACTTCCTGGGACATGCACAATCACGTTTGCATAGATTTTCAGTCTAGTTAGTGACGGATGTTAGACTCTACCTTTTTATGTCAGGCCAGAACAATGCCTTGATTTTCACACTGCTGATTCATTGGACAGGACCTTTTTAAATAAATACTGTTACATGTAGCAATTTAGTGTAGCTCATCTTTATTCAATGTCAAGCTAAGCTTGCCTTGGCATTTAAAGATAATTTAAAGATCCTCCCGTTATACTGCAACTGTTGAGAAATATAGCAAAAAATATTGTTATTTGAATCCTGCTAAAACATGCCATTCAGTTAATCTTTCTTAAGTGCTTATGTAAAGAGTGTAATAATGACCCAGATAATGTGGACTTATTTGTTATGTAAAGTTGGTGGCTACTAGTTTCTTAATACTTGTGCCTGATGGATGGGGGTGGTTGTGTATTAGGGGAGTATTTTTGGATTCCTGTTATGTAATATTTTGGATTTTGAAAAGAGAAGCAGATCTCAGTGTCTATAATATGATTTTTGCAGACACCTTCTGGTAAGTACTGTAATATATTATACTATTCTATACTATAGTGCAGTATATTCTGCTTTTGAAGCTACTGTACACAAAAGGTTCTAACTAACCAATATGTTAATGTCATGTTAAACCGAGAGTTTGATTAAAAACATTCATGCATTTATTACTGGTTACCACGTTTCCATGCGTGGTATCTAAGCACGGCCCTCGCTAGAGAGTTGTGCTGTTGGCTGAAATTGCAAACCATCTCTTGCTCCTGGATCCTCATCCTCTTCTCATCCAAAAACTGGGCATGTTTCTGACGTGCATGATGGATGTCCTGCTCCAGCTTGGCTCTCTGTAGAGTAAGAGTTTTCTCCATATCCACCCTTTCCCGCTCCTGCCGCAGACGTACTTCTGTCCTGCGAGCTTCTCTAAAGATGTCTCGGCGACCCTTGGCTACTTCACGGTCAATCTGGCGCTCAGTTACCTTCTCTACAAGGTGTCTCTGCATTCTGGCTTTATCAAATGCTTGATGGACTCTTTCAATGACTTTGAAGGGGGTGAGGCTGATTTTGTCATGGCAACAACCAATCAGACGCTTCCCTGAAGTAATGGCAGAAGAATGCGACTGTAGACCTGGTCTCTGAGTGTGAAAATGGCTGATGGCCTCACGTACGTCCTGTCCTGCAGCTTTACGGGACCACAACATGTCACTCAGTGGCTCACTCTGGTGGACCAAAGCTTTCAGTCCCAAAACACGAAAGGTTCCTTCTTCAATTTCTTCATTACAGATATCAACAGTCACACTGATATCTAGACAAGCAGAACAGAAGCATTCAGTGAATCAAATCGGTCTCTTAAGAGAGCTAACTAAAGTCAAAACTTCTGTTGTACCTTGGTCAAGCGTGTTTAGATGGGCCTCAGATTTCAGACTTAGACTGCACTGAGGGGTGTTGCATGGTGCTTTTATGTCTTGCTGACTGTCATTTGATTTAACACTTGCAGCATCCTGTATAACCTGTATAAAAGTGACAAATGCATGTCAAATGAAGAGTCTACATTTAGATGCACCCTAAAAAATTAAATGCAAAAATTTCAATGCACCTGTTACCACAATTAATAAACGCATGGTTGCAAGTAAAAAAAAACAAACTAGTTTATTTCATTAAACCTTCTAAGTTGCCAACATTATTTTAATGAGTTTTGTTGACATAATAATGTTGTTAATATGAACTTAATATTGTATGTAAACTCAAATTTCTGTGTTGACTGATTGTCTTAAAAAATGTAGTTGTAGTAAATTAATTAAATTGTCTTGTTAATTTTTGGGCAGTATAGTTCTAGTTCCCGGCATGCTTTGCATAGGACTAGATAAGGAGAATGACTGTTAAAATTAAGCAGAATTATATGGTTTTTTTTATTTAAGGGAAAGACCTGTTAGTGGTTAATGCTATTATATTTGACATTTAAAAGAGCTTTTGTTATGTTTTGTCGGTTTTTGTCATTACAATTTGTGCTGAAGAGTAGACTACATGAATGTAAGCAGCAATGACTGTTCCTCTCAATGTACTTTTTGGTTGAACATAATTTCATTACAAGTTGTCATGACGTAAAAAGATTAATCCAAACAGTTGCACAATTTTGTTTTGTTTTGTTGAGCCAACACATTCTTTTTTAGAGTGTACAGTGTTTATATTTTATACTGTCACATTACCTCTGGGTAGCCAGTTTGCATCAGCTTATCAAGGTTTACATGAAGTCTTTGGATCTCTGTATCTATCTCTTCATTTTCCTTTGGCTGAGAAACATATAACTACATTTTAGAATACTGCACATGAGCATTTCAAATAACCTAAATGCTT